AATTACTGGAACATCAACAGCCAGAAGTGCAGGCTGGATTTAGAAGGAGTCATGGTACTAGGGATATTGTAGCGAATGTTAGATGGATTTTGGCTCAAAGTAGAGAGTACCAGAGGAATGATTGTGTTTCACTGACTATGCAAAGGCATTTGACTGTGTGGATCACAACAAACTGTGGCTGATTCTGAGAATGGGAATCCCAGAACACTTGATCGTGCTAATGCAAAACTTATACTTGGACCAGGAGGCAGTTGTCAGAAAAGAGCAGGGAAACACTGTATGGTTCAAAATTAGGAAGGGTGTATGCCAGGGATATGTCTTATCTCCCTACCTTTTCAGTTGACATGCAGATTATCCTGGGGCTGGGCTCTATGAGGAGAAATGTGGCATCGGGATTGGAGAAAGACTCATCGATCTGTGTTATGCAGATGACACAACAGTGCTTGCTGAAACTGAGAAGGGCCTGAAGCACTTGCTGTGTGGAGGATCAAGGACTGCAGCCTTCAATATGGATTGAAGCTCAGTGTCAAGAAAACAAAGATTCTCACCACTGGGCTGATTGGCAGCATAATCATGGATAGTGAAGAGATTAAGATTATTAACAGCTTTAGTTTACTTGGCTCCACAATGAGCACTCTTGGCTCCAGCAGCCAGGAGATTAAAAGACGTATTGCTTTGGAAAAGTCGTATTGGATTGGGAAAGTCTGCTGTAAGAGACCTCTCTAAAGTACTGAAGAGCAATGGTGTCAATCTGGAGACTAAGGTGCACCTGATCCAGGCCATGGTCTTTGCAATCATTTGCTATGCATCAGAGAGCTGGAAAATGACTAAGGATGAGAGAAGGAGAACTGATGCTTTTGAGCTGTGGTGCTGTAGAAGAGTACTGAATATACTATGGACTGGTAAGAGAATAAACAGGTTCAGCCTAGAGAGGGTGAAAGCAGGCTGCTCCTTGGAGACAAGGATTCTGAAGCTTCATCTGACTTACTTTGGACATGTTTCAAGGAGGGACCAGTCCTTGGAGAAGGACTCATGCTAGATAGGGTGGAGGGACAGTGCAGGAGAGGAGGAGAGGAAGAACCTCGATGAGATGGATTGACTCAGTGACTGGGGGTAATAATGGGTGTAGGTATGTCAGAGACAGAGAGATTGGCACAGGGTAGAACAGGGTTTAGGGCTGTCGTACACAGGGTCGCAATGAGTCGGGCAACTTGACAGCATATAACAACAACAATATATTGAAGGTTCTGGGAATTTACACAAAATCATCTCAGCTCTCACAGCTCACAGTCTGACAGTGAAAAGCTGCCTGAGGACAAGGTGCAATAATGTGTTACAGGTGCCACTGGGAGCATTTCATGGAGGCTGCAAAGATGCTTAAGATGAATTCTTAAAGTTGGGTCAGTGAATCTGGAACAAGAGCATCTGGTGACTGCAGCCACTGTGCTGGGTCTGACATCACTGGTACATTGATGTCTGGGAAGGGTACAGGGAATGAAGTGAAGGGTGGATAAAGACTGGGTCACATAAGGCATGAAGTATTTGGACTTTATTCTGTAGACATCTCACTTGTGTACTGCCATGGAGTCAGAACTGACTCATAGATGACCCTCCAGCGGGCTTTCAGAGGCTATAAATCACAACGGAGGAAAGAGCCCATCTGTCTCCCTCAGAGCAGCTAGTGGACTTGAACTGCCTGCCTCTGGGTTGGCAGGACGCCTTACTCACTAGGCTACCAGAGCTCCCCCTGTAAGCAACAGGCTGGATTAATGATTAAGTAGGGTGTTCCTGCTTGGGCTCTAGAAAGGCCACACCCGTGCCATTCAGTGGAGACACCACATGTGGCTACTGAGCACTTGCATGTGGCTAGTGTGACTGAGACACTAATTTTTCCTTATTTTCATCAATTTAAAGCATATGCCATTTCAGTTATTGGAAAATCTTGACGTATGTTTGGAACCATTCGGGTATGTGAAGCTGTAAATTTAATGAAATACAAACAGATCAAGTGTTTCTGATGAAAATCTACCATCCAAATTAAAGATATGCTGTAAGTGTAAAATACACACCAGATAGTGAAGATTTAGGTTAAATAAAACATTCAAATGTATTTCACCTGTTTATTTTTGTCTTAAAGTGATTTCTAGAATATGCAAAATGACATATGTGACTTGGATTCTATTTCTACCAGACAGGGCTGGCCTACATTGATCCACGGTCAGATCCAAGACTGAAAGCAGAAAGACCAGTTAAGAGGCTCTTGAGTAACAGTCTAGAAGAAAGATGAACCTGAATCCTATAAATTCTACCGATCTCCAAAACCTAGTCTAAGCCCTACTGTTTGTGCTGTGCACCACACTAGGTCTATCCCAACCCATAATGGCCTCATGTAGCAGCGCAGAACTGTCCTATCAGGTTTCCCAAGGCTGTTACCTTTCCTAAAGCCGACTGCCTCCAATGTCTCCTCTGGAGCAGCTGGAGCGTCTGAACTACCGACCTTTTGGCTAGCAGCAAAGCACTTAACTACTGCACTTACTTCAAGGCCTCTTTCAAGACTCACTCAAACCCAAACTCACTGCTGTTCAGTTGGCTCCAATTCATAGCACAGCAACCTTCCAGCGGGTTTCCAAGGCGGAAGGAGACTGTCGGCCTTCGCTGGACCAGAACCACCAGAGACAGGTGGCCTTTTGGTTAATAGGGCAGCTCACTACAGAAGACGTCATCAGAGCGCTCCAATAACTCCAAAAAGCTCTTCCAATCATAACAATTCCTAACAAGCTGCCTTTCTCAGAACTCTCTGCAGCGTAACATCCTATGAGCTAGGCCACCGAAACTCCTTCAAGAGGTACAAGACCCCACAATTTGAAGACATTGGCATGACTGGCTTTACCTTCCCACTAGAAGAAGACATTCTTTCCTTAAAGGCAAGAAAAATCAACCAAAACTCTATCTCAGTGTTCAGTGCTCAAAACTCTATTTCAGTGTTCCAAAGCAGTACAACACTGTATCAGGCAACAGCATTGGTAGATTATACTGGATACAATAAGGAAAATGCAGAGAACAGAAAAGCAATTTAAGAGTTTTGCAAATGCCATTAAAAAATGAACAACAAAACCCCAATTATCTCTGATCTCCACTGCCATAGATGGTCTTTGCAATCTGGGCACTAAAAACTTTCATTCAAGGAAAAACACATAGCTTTAAAAATTTAAAATTTAACCCTAGATCAATCAGTCTTTCTAGTAAGTAACACATTCTCCAAGTGGAAAGACATATATTACAACTTTATCCACCCAAATTAGTAACCAAATCAAACCCCACTCCCAAGTAGCCAATTTTGACTCCATTGAGTTTCTGCTGCTGCAAGTCCCAAAAGAACAAACTACTTCATCTTTTGAGGCACAAATCTTCTGGTTATCAGCACCACTAGGGTTCCTTTGAAATTAGTTGCTGTTTGCATTAAGTTGGAACCAATCCATAGCTGACCCTCCGGCTGGTTTTCAGAGGGAGTAAATAGCACAGAAGATTGCCCATCATTCTCACATGAAACAGCTGGTGTGGATCGGAACCCCGTGCCTTTGGGATTGCTGCACAGCTGTTTACCACCAGGCTATCAGAGTAAGGCAAAGAAAAATATTTCTAGGAAAATGGAAAGTGGTAGTAGAAATATATTGTGCCATGAGTAATAATTTCACCTAAATTAGTACCTAAGTAATTTGAGGGGGAAAAGGATGAGAAAATCCTCAAAAAAATAAATACCCCAAAGCAACTAGTCAGCTTTAACTACTACAGAAATAGGAAGCTAGTAGCAGCTGGTTTCAACCAAAAGATGGTGGTGGTGGTGGTGGTGGTGGTTATGTGTCAGTTGAGTCGCTTGAGACTCATAACAACCCTGTGTACAACAGCCTTAAGCCCTGTTCTATCCTGCGCCAACCTTACTGTCTCTGATACACCTACCATCATCACCCCTGTCAGCTTTTGCAGGTCATGTATATTTGTTGTTTGACATTTCAAACAAAGCTGACAAGTTATTAGAAATAAGTTGACATATATTATAATGGTATCTTTCATGCATTTGTTAAGCAGCTATAAAGTTGATGTATAAAGAGTGGAATGAAAGTTTCTATCGCCAAAACAGGAGTCTTGACAGCTAAGAGAGAAAAAGAAATTAAGGCAATTCTATTCTGCAAACAAAATATGAAAAGGAGAAAACCTGAAAAGGTTTGAAAATATAAAAAGGGAGAGAACCTGTCGAAAGGCCTGGATGAAATCAGTGAGTTAAAAGTAACTACTCATTTCCTCTAGCACAGTGGGAAAATCCCGATTGCTAATAGAAAGCTCAAAGTTTAGTTTGGCTGATTTCATTTTGTTTTCCTTCCAACCTCATCACTGGGTATGAACGACTGTTTTCCTCTCATCACATTACTCAGTAACCCCCCCCCCCCAATGAATTGAATTGTCTTCCGGTGCAACGCTCCCCAGCCTCCCAGGTCAGCACCCGCCCCCGCCTCCCTCCCTCTAAACGTGCTCAGACGCCTCTGGGCATGTTGTGTTGTCACCAAGTCTGCGGGCGAGGACTCCAAACTCAATGGACAATAGGCACCCACCCCCCAGCAACGCTAACTATAAAGCTCAGGAGGTCCATTTCCCTTTTCCTGCCCAGATGCTGTTTTCCCTCCTTCAAAGTATAGTGCCAACCTCGATAGGGTTCCACTAAGGGCTGGGGCCCGTACCTCCCCCCACTTGCAGAGCTACAAAACCCCCAAGCCTCAAATAACTTGCACAGGCCAAAAGGAGGCCGCTATCAGAGGCTTGGATGAAAGTGTAGGTTTTACAGTCCAGGTAGGGCAAGGATGGGTGTCACCGGACGCTTGGTCATGGCCCTCAAAACCAAGCCATCTCCACTGTCCCCAGCTTCAACTTGCTTCCCTTCCCCTATGAGAGGAGCAGAGGGGCAGCACGGCCACTTCTTCTCCATGGAAGTCTCGGCCAACACTTACCCTTTCACCACAAAGAAGGGGTCCTCCATGGACATGGCGTCCGGCCCCCTGGCCACTCACACTTGCTCAGAGCGCAGGGCACCGGCACCCTTCTGGCCTCCTTCTGCCCGACCCACCGGCCTCCTGCAGCCTGCGGCGCCTCGGCCTGGAGGATCCAGCACAGCGAGCGGGCGCTTAAGCAGGGATGCCAGGAACACCGCAGGTCCAGCACTTGATCGGCGTCGCGGAGCAAATCTCGGACTCTGGTGCCGGCCCCCCGGTTAGCCACCTCCCCCGGCTCCTCCAGGAGAGTTCTGAGGCCGAACCCCGCCCCCGGAACCCTCCGCTGCGGCCAACCACGAGCGCTGTCCGCGGCTCCACTTCCGCACTCGGGCTCACGTGACCTGCCCAGGCCCCGCCTCCCACCGGCAGAGACGGTGCATAACGTCACGCGACCTTGGAGGCGGAGTTCTGGTGGAGCCGGGCGGAGGGAGGGCTTCTCTGGCCTCTCTCCTCTGGTTGGAGGTGGCTGTTCCTTATAGAAAGGCAAACGTCTGTTCAGAATAAGCAGTAGTACTAATCTGTAGTCTTTTTATAATCTTTTTCTAGTTTTAATACTTAGTATTGGTAATAGATGATTTGTAAATCCATCTCGTTTCAATGAAAAACTCAAAACTCATTGACATTGAGTTGACACTGACTTATCCAGGTAGTTTTTAGAGGCTGTAAATTGCAAGGGAGATTGCCCATCTTTCTCCAGCGCAGCAACTTGTGGATTACCATAAACTGCCTTGGGAAGAGAATCAACACAACTACCTTCCTACTAGGACAAACCAGAGCTGCCTGATCTCAAGAGTGTGTGTGTGTGTGTGTGTGTGTGTGTGTGTGTGTGTGTGTG